TGTTGTTCAGCATCTTAGCTGTGGAGGGCAGTGTCACTGGCCCTCATATGTGGGATCCGAACCGGGGCCCTCTGGCATCCCAAGCCAGCTCTTAACCAACCCGCCACTCGGCCGGCCCACACGTGTGTTTTAATAAAAGTAGATCTACATGGTTTTTGTTTGTTCGATTTAGCTTTATGGGCATTTTACCATTTTAAATATCCTTTAAAAGCTTTTTTTTTTTTTTAAGTTGCAAGACATCATATGTATGGTGTACCACAAGGTTTCACAGCCTTGGCACTGTTGGCAATTTAGAGGGAATAATTCTTTATGGTAGGGCGCTGTCCTGTACATCATGGTATGGTGGGCAGCATCCCTGGTCACTCACTAGCCACTAGATGTCAGTAGCCCCATTGTGACCCCAAAAATGTCTCCAGATATTGTAAGATTACCTCACTCTCCCCATTGACTTCCCATACCAGTTTCCCACATATGAACAAAATGTGCTATAAGTTGCTCCCCTTTCAGATCTTTAGGCTGTGTGTACTTTCTAGATGAAATAAATACCTATGTTTTGAATTTCTTGTCTGACATTTTAGCACACGTCCTAAGGGGAACTCCTGGAATAAAGGGCATGTACATTTTTAAGGCTTTTGATACATGTGGAACCCAGAGATATAACTTCGCTCTGGGTCTAGGAGTTTCCACTCCCCTTCTCCTCCAGCCCCTCTTGGGAACACCTAACATTAACTCTAAATAATTCTTTTGCATTCACAAGACCCAGGATGACCATGGACTTGATGGTAGCTTTTGCCTTGCAAAAAAAACGTGCCTGAGCTGAAGAATGATGAAAGGCAGGCAGCCTACTTGAAATGGGTGGAATTTGGGAGAACCAGCAAGTTAATGATCCAGAATGTTATTTGAGGATGCAGTTCTTTGATTACTGGATGGGTAGTATATTTTTAAAATTATGTTTGTTGAAAAATGCCTGTTATCCCTTGCTCTTTTGGGATATTTGTCTTACTTTGGAGTGGTTTTGAGATCTTTTGAAGCATTTAGATATTCGGCGCAAAATTCAAAATGCTTTGAGAGTATTGTGGAAATCCTAGATATTCCTGTCCCGATGGAGACAAAATTACACACATGATAGAACAGGCACTTCTTGTTTCCTTGTAACATGTTCTCACCAAGATTGAAATCTATCATTGGGCATAAACTAATTATGAGGCCAGATCTGAGCGTTATCTGACTGAACAATTATTCTGTAATTAGGACAGAAGATGGAGGAAGATGGCACAGAAGACAATGGCCTGGAAGAGGATTCCAGAGATGGGCAGGTATGTGGTGTGACCGTAGAGACGGCAGCAGGAGCTCCGAGTCTTGGTCCGTCCACCTGGTCATGGACACCTCTCATTCCTCTTTCCAGGAAGATGTGGAAGCAGGTTTGGAGAGTTTGCAGAATGTTGATATGATGGACGTTAGTGTGTTAGAAGAAGCTGAAGTTGAGAACAGCAGTGCTCCAGACTTTGGGGACAACGGCACGGACAGCATCCTCGATTCCCTTTGTGACAGCAAAGAATATGTGGCTGCACAACTGAGGGAACTCCCGGCTCAGCTTACGGAACCTGCTGTAGGTAACTCGGAGACATGTGCATTATGCCGGTAGCCCAAGGCCCCCAGTGCTCATGTGCTGTTTATGGAGCAAGAACATGCTGGGGGTGGATGAAAAAGCAAACGGCCAAGTCACCCATCACCACAAACACTTAATTTGGTATCTGAACCTGGATGGTAGATTATGTCCCATTTAAACTCCACGTAGGTCAGGTATTAACTGATGGATAACTTCTCCATGGTACTGGAGAATATTTTGATAGTTGTGTGGGAGACATTTTCTAAGCAGAAGTCATAAAAGGTTGACACCATTGAAGAAAGTATTTTCCTTTGAAAAAACAAGTAAAAAACTAGAAAGATAGAAACAGTTTATAATCTCATCATCCAGATAATCCTGTTGATACTTTAGAAAATCTATTCTATGCATAGATTAGACTGTTATATTAAAAGATGTGGAATATAGTGAAGAAAAGTATTTGTCCCCTTAGAAGAACCCCTCCCGGGAAAGGGACCCACTCTCAGTGTCCATGTGTGTCAGGGAGGGCTTTAGTTCTATTACCAGTGTCACTTCTCCCACGTCTCACCCCCAGGATTTTGGTGTAGAGCTCTCAGTGGCTGCCGTCCTAGAACTGATGGCCATTTTCATCTTACCAATGTCCCATGCCATTCTAATTTGGTTGTTTTATTTACTAAAGGTATTAGCTTTAAACTGAAAGCAGTGCCCTCATGGGACGGAATGTTAAACTTTAAAGGTCGAAATACACAAACTCTAAACATCACCGCACCTTGACCTAGAGTAGCATTGAGCAACTGATTTGTACCACCAGCACGACCCAGTTGTGTCATGTTAATCATTTCCAGAGCACAGACTTGGCTTCTAACTTCTTTGTTAATGGAAGCATCCAGGTCATAAGGTTCAAACCTAGAAAAGAGAAAACTATCTGGGATGGGATATTTTTGTATTTCACTTAAAATGGTAAAAGGCCTTCAAATTTAGTAACCTTTAAGGTAAGTTGGGTTTTTTATTTCTTTTTCTTTTTTCTTTTTTTTTTTGTATAGTAAATAGTAAAAAGAGAAAACAGTCAATTTTTTGTTTTAAAGCACTCTAGAAGAAAGCACCCAGTTAGTGTTACTCTTAAAGTGTTGCTACCGAGTGAAATTGGAGGGTTCTGAAGTTTTGAGTTCTGCTTTGGGAAGTCTGTGGCTGAGTGGTATGTGTTGACCAACAGTGTGTGGAAACTGTCTGGGAAATGAATTCGTTTTGTTTATTTGGGCAGTGCTGACAGAATGCCTACCATCTGCGCGCCCCTGTCAGCAGTGCTGGTGTCACCCAGTCCTGGAGCAGGTGTCGGGGCAGGGAGGCAAGTGATAAACCAAATAGTCCAACAGGAGACTTGCAGATGACAGTAGGTGTGTCAAGGAAATAGACATGTAGGTTGTCTGCAATGTGAGATGTAGGCCTTGGCATTCACAGCTCTGTCCCCACAAAGTGACCATATGTCCATCTTTCAGGTGGACGGGGAAGGCTTCGAGGACACTTTGGATGCTTCATCGTTGGACTTCAAAGTAGCTTCGGTAAGTTCTTCATGACTAGGAACTTTACGTGAGTGGTTGACTTGCCATAGTGGGAAAGGATGTGTGTATGTATATAAAAATGACCCACTGAGCGTTGCTCCTGAGCTGGGTGCTGGGCATAAGAGGTTGAGCCAAACCAGTCAGTCTCGGAGTTTGCAGTCTAGTGAGGGCAGGGTTAGTAACCGACAAGAATGACTGGAAGGGAAGAGAAGTTTGACAAAGGAGAAGTTTAGGCAATTGGGCTACGAAAGCACCTAGACAGCTTTCTAGAGGAAGTCCTATCCAAGTTAGGGTCTAACATACCAGCCAGGAGTTAGCCTGGTGAAGGGGAAAAAAAGACTTTGGGGTAGAAGGGAGCATGGCTTCCTGTAGGGATGGAGTACACGGGGCGAGAGCAGCATGGTGGGTCTGACTGCCAGTGTCTATGCGCCGGGGAAGGATGTGGCTGATGATGGTACAGACAGTGGGAAGGCAGGGAAAGGTTTTAAATGGTAGAGAAATGGTTTTGTTAACCACAGGTTTCAGTTATAAATACATTTATATTGGGAGAAATACATTTTTCTACAATCTGGTGTGATGTATAAAGCAGTGGCTATCTGTGTGACCTTCGCCTTGACCGTGGGAGTTTTTGCCAGCCACAGAGGCCATTAGGTTAACTCAGACTTGGGGTGGGGCGGCCAAACAAAGGGGAGAATTGAACGGGCTATGTAGTACTGTTCCATTCTGCTTTTTGCCAGGGAGAAGCCGACAAATGAACTTGTGTTGCTTGAGTGATCGTAGAACGGGATACATGGTTTTAAGTGGAGAAGGTTGTTTGAAATAGGCATTTCTTCATACTTGATCGAAAGCTGTATCTGCCCCATTTTTAAGTGCCTTGTGGGTTTTTTTTCTCTTTTTTTAAATAGGATATTGAAGAACCGCTATTGGAGCCAGGTACTGATAAGAGAAACACAACAGTTATGGTTTGAACATTTTCTCACTACTATTTTTTTCAAGCTGTCTATATATTTTAAACTATATTATGGTCTTGTAAACTATTTTAATGGTGGACAATCCAGATCGTACAAGGATCAGAGATTGGAAACCCATTCGTATCACCAGATCTGTGGAATAGCCGTTCTGGTTTCTGGAGGTCATACATATGTGGTGAGATGTACCGATTATGTTCATCTCTCTAACCACATAGAGTGGCATTTATGTAATTTCTCCCCGTGATTCTTCCATGTGTTTCTACACATGAAACAGATCTTGTGATATTTCGCTGCAGTCGTTTTGATTAATGCAGTTAAGGCAGGATAAAACTGTTGTCAGGGCACTTATAACTTGAGAAGTGACTGGATTCCAGAAGAGGAAACAGAGTTTCTTCATGAAAATTTCCAACATGTTATTCCCCCTCTGAACTGTGTTTATCTCCCGCCATCGGAAGAGTTTCTGGTTTTCATATTGGACCGTTCTGTTAAAAGAAATTCAAAGAAATTTGGAAATTGAGCTGTCATTGAATTGGTGATTGCATTCGGTTCAGCACCTTGGACGTTGGAAAAATAAGTCCGAAGACCCAGACTTGAACAAAACATGAAGAAGACTGTCGAGAAGCAGCCAAGTGGTTATAGGTGTTTAAATCTGTGGGGGCCTTTTCTCTTCCATGTAGCATAGCGGCTTGCTCTAGCAGTCGGTTGGAGTGCAGGTAGTGTAACCAGTGTAACGTGTGTACCCGCGGGTTTTCCAATCTCTGTGTAGCTAGCAGTTCTCTTCGTGTTAGTGTGGCAGCCGTGCCAGTTCCGCATTTGTGATTGCTGTATTTCCCTGGTAATTAAACCTTGTGCCATTCTATTCCTGTTAAATCCGTAGAAAATGAGAAAATACTCGACATTTTGGGGGAAACTTGTAAATCTGAGCCAGTAAAAGAAGAAGGTTCCGAGCTGGAGCAGCCATTTGCACAGGATACAAGTAGCGTGGGGCCAGACAGAAAGCTTGCGGAGGAAGAGGACCTTTTTGGCAGCGGCCATCCGGAGGAGGGTGATTTAGATTTGGCCAGCGAGTCAACGGCACAAGCTCAGTGGAGCAAGGCAGACACCCTGTTAGCGGTAGTGAAAAGGGAGCCCGTGGAGCAGACAGGCGGTGACGAGAGGACGGACTGTGAGCCTGTAGGGCTAGAGGAGCCAGTTGAGCAGAGTAGTAAAGCGTCAGAGCGCGCAGAAGCCTCTAGCGAGGAGGTCACGGAAGCGCCCCTGGAAGCCTCAAGCCCAGACCCCAGAGATAGCAAAGAAGACGTGAAGAAGTTTGCTTTTGAAGCTTGTAATGAAGTCCCTCCGGCTCCTAAAGAGTCCTCAGCCAGTGAGGGCGCTGATCAGAAAATGAGGTTTGTTTTTTCTCAGTTTTAGACCAGACGCTATCTCCTTTTCATTGGTCGTTTAATGACACACATAAGCTGTTTTTTCTGCAATTGGCCAGCCAGACTGACGAAATTGTAGCTTACTTTAAAGAATGTTTTATTTCTCTTTGTGTATTTTTAATGGGTGATTCGATTCCTTTTCTTTTTCTCAACCTACTATGGTTGTGTTCTTAAATTGTTAAGTGTTCTCTTCAGCTAAATCGAATTGACTTAAAAATCTGACATTGTATTTTGGGGGGGTCAGCTATCCAATATAAGCTTGCAAAGGTGTCTGTTAAAATTTTATTTCAGACTAATTTTCTGGTAGGTATTCAGTTTTAGCACATATCATACTTTTAATTTAGTTGTCTTTTGTTCGTTTCCTGTATGATTAACATTAACTTTTGTCTCTAGCTCTTTTAAGGAAGAAAAAGATATAAAGCCAATCATTAAAGATGAAAAAGGTATGATTTAACTTATGTGGCGGGGAGCCACCTATGGATTCCTTAGTTTGGGAGGGAGGGACCTGCAGGTATCCACGTGCTGGACACAGTAGCTTTTTGTGGATTTCTGGAATGAACCATCTAATGGTATCTTGAGAGACTGGTTTTAAATGTTGGTGAGCTGGATTTTATGTCTCTCTTGTGGTTGTCATTTATGGGACAGTGAAAATCCTATTACACTCCATCCTATTACAATCCTGTTCCCCATTAAATAATGTAACAAGAGTTAGAGAAACTGCTATCTTGGTTGGGAACTGATCATTGAAAGACATTTTGTAACTGACCTGGACACGAATATTTCTCAAGTAAGAAAACCCTCAGTGTCTGCCGTCCAGTTTTTTCAGCTTCTGTTCTAGGTGTTGGCAGGAATTAAATCCTTGAATCAGAAGAGTAGAATTTGAATGTAGTTAGGGTTTAGGAGAGGGCCACCATGTTAGGAGTGGTTATGCATCCTGTTGCGCCTGGAGGCAAAGCATAATCCTCTCGCTCCTGCTCCAGGTCGGACCAGCAGCAGCTCTGGGAGGAACCTCTGGGTCAGTGGACTGTCTTCCACAACCCGAGCAACAGACCTGAAGAACCTTTTCAGCAAGTATGGGAAGGTACGCACTCCCTTAACACCTTTCCACCCTGCCTCGATTTGGCATTAAAAAATAGATGCAAGAGTTTAGAAACTTAATTCGTGCCACAGTTAGTTTTATTGGTGGTTATTTCTTGCTTTAAAAAAAGGCAGAGGGGAATCCTTGAGTGTTTTGAGTACTGTGCCTTGTTTTCTAGTTGACAGTGGATCACAGGCAGAGCCTATCATCATGTCAGAACACTGCTCAGAAAACGTGTATAAATAGTTACCATCTAAATGTTCTTGTGGGTCTTTCTAACTTCTCTTCGAGAAACTGCCATCTTTTGGCCTATACAAAAGTTAAAGCTGGCATGCTGAGTTTTTTTCCTTAACAGTAAATGAAGAGTTGACTTGTACATCTTACAGCATCTTAAGTATGTACTTTGAGAACTGGAACATGATAGTGATTTACATATTTATTTATTTATTATTATTTTTTTAAGCTGAGCCATCCTGCCACCTGTTGGCAGCTCAGCGGCAGCTCAGCTTAGGCTGGGAATCGAACCGGCGACCCAGTTGCTCAGAGCTCACGTTCTTGAGCGAGCTCTTAACCAACTGAGCCACTTGGCTGGCCCAGTGATAGTAATTTACAAATAAATCAACTAATATGCTGCTCATAGGGGTAGAAGGAAAATGATACAATTCAGAAGCCTTCCAAAGAACTTGAAGGACTTTTAAAAATGATTCTGTTACCCGGGAATTAGATGATGAAGCAGATTTATTATATAAGCCGTAGGGAGTGCCCTGGTCTCCTGGGTGCCTACCTGTGGGAAGTGGCCCTCCAAGGGAGAGGTAGGCAGGGTGCCGCAAGGTTTTGAGAAGTTGCAGGGATTCCAGGCAGAGTTTTGGTGGCTGTCCCTTCCTGGCTGCCCAGGTAATTCCTTTGCTCAGGTCCACGTCACCTGATTAGGTGTTAGAGAATGTGTTGGTGACTTTAGCAGACAGGACCCAGAAGTATTGGAAAAGTATTAAGCTGTAACCTCATTTATTTTGTTGATTTCTTTCTGGACTCAGGCACTGATTATAAAACTTATACCAGCAGATATATAGTCACTGTCATAGATCTTACAGCCTGGTGAAAAAATCATTTACGAAATAAACAAATACAACACATTCCGATAAGTACATTAAGGAAAATTACTGCATGTCATTTGTGTATGGTAGGGAGACCTAATTTAGATTTGGGAGGTGGGTTCACTTAAGGAAGTGATATTTAGGGCAAGGCCTGAGTGATTAGAGTTGGCCTTGCCTAGGGAGTGTGGTGGGACAAGGCTTTGTGATTTGGATGAACTCATCAAAGGCTGCTGTGAAGAGCTCGAGGGCAGTGGGCTAGGGTGAGTGGGGGACAGGGATATGTGAGCTGCTCATGATATCTGCTCCCATTTGGGCTTACTCATTAGAAGTGATGCCCTTGCAAGGATAATTGGGTTAATGGAAAGGTCAGATAACCCCATGATTGGCTCAGCCCCCTGACCTTGAGACACAAGAATGCAAAGTTTCATCTCTGCTCTGATAACTGACACCTGTGTCGTCTGTCCTCAGCAGAGGCTTCTGTCGCCTTGGCCCTATGTGGGGTGCTCTGGACATATGGGGATTTTTCTCTGCAGGCAGAAATGCAAACATCAGAATCTGCGGGGAACCTAGAATGCAGGGCCCCCCCTTCTTGCCATATCACAGTTGGGGACACAAAGTTCAGAGAGAGCAGATGACTTGTTCAAGTTGACCCACTTAATCAGAGGTGGGTCAGAACCCAGAGCCCCCGTGTCTCAGGCTTCTTGTATTGGGTTGTTGGAAAAGTCATGACGAATTTTTATGTTTTTCGTTGCAAAAATGTGTCATGACTTTTCCGACAACCCAGTATTTCCCCAAAATGCTGGCCCTACCCTCACTTCTTTGAATGTCCTACAGGATGTTTACATTTAACGGGAACATTTGTGGTGTGGGGTTTAAATCTGTGATCTGGCTCTGTGTTTTCTCTCTCCTGTTTCTTCTTGAATCCCTTGTTCCTGTTTATTTGCCGCCTTTTGCATCGGGTATTTCTTATGAGTTATGGCTTATTAGCTATGACTATATACCGGGGGTGCCAAAAAAATGTATGCACATTACTTGTATTCATCTTTTGTCATCGGTTTATATTGAGTATTACAATTTTAATACAGTTTTTTCCTTTCTTAAAATGCGTATACATTTTTTTGGCACTCTCTGTATAACTGGTATGACTATATTCTAGTTCCTTGAGGTATAAAGTTAGGTTGTTGATTTGAGATTTTTCTTGTTTCTTGACATAGGCATTTATTGGTAACTCCCCTCTTGAAATGGCTTTTGCTGCATCCCATAAGTTTTGGTATGTTGACTTTCCATTTTCACTTGTCTCATGGTATTTTTTTTATTTCTTTTTTATTTCTTCTTTAACCCTTTGGTTGAGCTATAACTTTTTTTTAGTGGTTGCTTTTAGGAATTACAGTACACGTCCTAACTTATTACATCCTATCTCCCAGTGGTACTGTACACCGGTACCTTACAACAGTACACTGCCATTGCCCCCTCCCGGCCTGTACCGTGTTACCGTCATACATTGTACTTCCATTCAGTTGTTTTTGTGGGGGGGGGGTTTTGTGTGTGTTTTTTTAAGATTTTATTGGGGAGTTGGGGGAGGGGAACAGCATTGGGGAATCGGGGAAGGGGAACAGACAAGTTGCTGTCCTTTTGTTCTTCAGTCTAGTTGTGGAGGATGTTCCTTCACTGGCCCATGTTGGTGTTATCATTGCTCTCTTCCCAGGTGAGGCAGATCGGTCGCCGGCCTCTGGACAGCTGCTCATGGCGGCTCTTGGCAGCTCACACCAGCTGCTGGCCACTCACTCTGGCTGCCAGGTCACACGCAGTAGCTTATGGCAGCCCGCTGCAGCCTATGCCATCGCCAGCGACTCATGGCAGCCCAGCTCCAGGTCGAGCTGTTGTTCAGCATCTTAGCTGTAGAGGGCAGTGTCACTGGCCCCCATGTGGGATCCAAACCGGGGCCCTGGTGCTCAAAACTGGCGTCCCAAGCCAGCTCTTAACCAACGCACCACTCGGCCAGCCCGTGGGGTTTTTTTTATTATCTTTTAAAGAGATTTTTAAATAAGAAAGAAAAACCGTGGGTGTTTAATTTTCCACGTGTTTACAGTTTCACTAATTGTCGTTGTGTCATTTCTGGGTGTGTTTCTATTGGTTGGTTGGTTTTCTTCATTCGAGCCGGATTTTCCTGCTTCTTGGCTAGCCCAGTCGTTTTGATTGGATGTCAGGCATTGTGATTTTTGCCTTGTTGCAAAGTAGTTATTCTTATGTCCCTACAAATGTCCTTGAACTTTTGCTGGGGCACAGATCAGTCACTTGCTCCTTGTGAGGCTTGCTGTTAGGCTTTTTTCATCAGGCCAGAGCAGCCTTAGCTTGGGGCTAGCTGGCTAGCTTCATCTGCTCCTGGGGCGCCACCCTTCTGAGCACTCAGCCTGATGCCTGTGACCACCCAGCCGCGAGTTCCCTCAGGGGAGAGGGAGCCATTGGCAGCGCTGAGTGAGCCCAGGGCTGGCTCCCTCTGCTCCTGCAGGTGGCCCTCTCCCTAGCCTTGGCAGTTTCCTCACACATGTGCAACGCTCGGGGGACTGTCTGCAGCTCAGCAGCTGTCTTGGATTGGTTCTCTCCCTGTTGGTGTGATGCTGGCTGCCTTGATCTCCTCAGACTCAGAGTTCTGCTCACCATAGGGGTGCCGCTCTCCCCCTCAGTTCCTCCTCCCTGCCCGTGGCCTGGAACCTCTGAGCTGTAAGCCAGGGCAGCCACAGAGCCCACCTCGTGTTTCCCCTCTCGCAGGGGTCACTATCCCATGTGGCCTGGTGGCCAGTGTCTGAAAACCCCTGCGGCCTGCGTTTCTTCCCATTTTTAAGTTGTTTCAGGCAGCAGAAGGGTAAATGCTTGGTACTCCTGTCCAGAGTGGAAGTTTGTTCTGCGTTGGTCTGCGGAAACTGGGGTGCATTTCTGAGTACATACCCCCCAGCTATCGATGGGTACAAAGGAACTGGAGAAAATGATCTAAGTGGAAAGGGCTTTTGATGAATTAACAGGTGTGACTAGTGAAGTTTAACTGTCTTGCTTTTTCTGTTTGTCACTATGAGGGCTGGTCTTTTATCGAAAGCAGTTGTATTGTGGTGTCGGAAAAGTCATAATGCATTTTTGCAATGAAAAACATAGAAAAAATACTTCATGACTTTTCCGACAACCTAATATTTTGATAGGTCAGGGTAATTTAGAACCCCTTTAATAGCTATGAAGAACTGACAATTTCCGGAGAAGTAAAAACTAGTGAAAATAATTCTGATGGTTAGTTAACTGCTGATAAGTTTTAATGCGTTATTTGGTCATTTGTATGAGGAAATAAGATCCCCTTTCCCATGAAGGTTGTTGGGGCCAAAGTGGTGACCAATGCCCGCAGTCCTGGGGCTCGGTGCTACGGTTTTGTCACCATGTCGACATCCGATGAGGCTACAAAGTGTATCAGCCATCTCCACAGAACTGAGCTTCATGGAAGAATGATCTCCGTAGAGAAGGTGAGGCAGTCCGTGCCTGTCCTAACTCTTGAACTTCACCTGCGGGAAGACCTGGCCCGTGAACCATTCCTGTCTGCATTATATTTTAGGCCAAAAACGAGCCTGCTGGGAAAAAGCTGTCTGACAGAAAAGAGTGTGAAGTGAAGAAGGAAAAAGTATCAAGTATTGACAGACATCATTCAGTGGAGATCAAAATTGAAAAGTAAAGTGGTTTTTTTGTTTTTTTTTTAACTTTTCTCTTGGGATGATGGCTGGGAGGGGAGCAGGTGGCAGCCATAGGGTCCCTCATGAGACAAGCATGCAGTCTCCTTTGCACAGACAGCCTCACCAGCTTCTCATTTAAATCAGAGGTGATTTTTGCATCTTGCTTTCAGTTCAGTACTCAGCTTTCAATACAGATATTCATTGACGTAACCTATAACTCTGAAAAATGGGTTCATATGATCCTTAATAAGTATTATGTCCAAACGACTTAATAGCCTGTTGGAAAAAAATAACACAGAAAATGAGAAAATTTATTCTTGTTGTTTTTTTGGTTTTTGTTTGTTCGTTTTAGCTGAGCCATCCTGCCAGACCTGTTGGCAGCTCAGCAGCAACTCACCTCGGGCTGGGAATCGAACCACTGTTGCTCAGAGCTCAAACTCTTGAGCGAGCGCTTAACCAACTGAGCCACTCGGCTGGCCCTCATTTCTGTTTTATTCTTAACATCTGAACCCTTGCATGGCCTCACAAACCCTGGAATCATTTCCTGGTCTAGATTGATTTTCATGTGATTCTTGCTTTTTTCCCAACAGCTGCAAAAACTGAGCTTTGCAAAGATACAGCCTTATCCAAAGAAATGTAGCCTGATCGAGTATTGAAATGAACGACCTCAAGCTATTAGTTTGTGTAGCATCTGACAGTTGTCAAGTATTGCTGAGTTTTTCTCAAAAATTTAGAATATCCCAGAGTGCCTGAGTTTACCGTGGCACCCGGGGGTACCTTGGCACAGTAGTTTGGGAACCATGAGTCTGACCTACTATTTTTATAAAGGAAGGATTTATAGCTTTAATCAAGATGGAAATAGTGACAGATTTTTCAAAGCAGACATTGCTTATTTATACTTTTACAAAATCAGGCTTATCTCTTGGGGAAGGTAGACTTGACAATATGCTTGATAGGGTGCTATTCTCAGTATTAAGTTTATATTGTCAATGCAATTTATTCCCACTCTCATGTCCACTCACACTCTAAAAATTGAACCCTTTGGCTGAGAGTCTGTCACTCTCACAGCAATTCCATTTTGCTGCTGTTCTTACATAAGAAAATTTGTAGTTGAGTAAACATGGCTGTGGATATTGATACTCGTAAGTTAGACTTGGTTTTTAAAGATGTAATTGCCAATCTTCATCGTGGCCAAGTTGGAAATTGTAGGCCCATGCGAAATGGATGTCAGATTAGCCTTCACATAGTTAGAAGCAAGAGACATATTTATCAGCAACTTCAAAAAAGAGACACATCCATCAGCAGTGCTAAAAAATCTATATTGGTAGGTTGGATGTTGGTTACTGTTGAGAGTTCTTGGTTCGCTTAGTGTCTTGAGATGCATTTCATTCATTGCTAATCTAATCACAAAAGTGAGATATGTTTGTGGAAAAGAGGAAGGGGATAATAACCAGCTAACGTGTCCAAGGGTTCTCTTAGTCCCTGGAAGAGTCCTGTGAAGTCTGTGGTCCATGTAGAACAGGCTCCGAGTGGGGAGCACCAGCTCAAGGTCACACAGCCCAGCTCACAAGTGGCGAGGCCAGGATTTAACCCTAGGTTGCTGCCCCTCCAGTGATGGGGCACATAACTGGGTGATGAGCTTCAGATGTTTAAAACCGAACTATTGTCAAGTGGTTTACCTAGGAGGTTGAGCCTTTTAAAATTTGTTTTTAACTTTATTTTTCTTCTTCAAATAAACCCTTTTATTAACCTTTCCTTTTATTTAGGAATTTCTAGGGAAGCTTTTCTACAGCGGTGGCTTGTCTGGGCTGTCCTGGATGAGGAAGGATTTTTCTGTAATTACCGCTTGTAAAGCACACGCAGAAGTCAGGTGTGATCCCACTACCCAGCGGGACACTTTTTAAGTGTATATTCCTCTACCCTGTTTTTCTACATACTTTTTTTTTCTCCAGAAATTACTTTTTAACTTAGTGTATCAACAAGTTCTGTGTGTCTAGGAGGTGCCACGTGAGCACAGAACAAGTAGGGAAGGGGTCTCCTGTCGAGACATTTTTCAGGTCTCCTTGGAGGGAGAAGGCACATCAGAGGTGATTCGTGGTGGCCTTTTTGCGGTCCCATAGTCACTGGAAGCAATCTCTGTAGTCAGTCCGAAGGAAAATGGTAAATAACCACGGACTGCTGTGCAGCAGTTAAAGGGAACCAGACTTGTGTATATTTCCACACAGACTAGCTTTTAAAACATGAGGTGAAAGTGCTATAGAGCAACATGTCAAGGGCCATCCTGTTATGTCAGTCTCCAGAAACGCCTTAAAAAACATCCATGAAGATGATCAGGGTTATGTGAAGAGCCTGCAAAGGCCAGAGAGGTGGAGCTAAATGATTGACAGTTATGGCCCCCTGGGGTGGTCACAGGGAACGGAGGGGTCATTCCGCTGTGTCTATAGTGTTTTGGTTTGTTTTTAGAAAGGGAAACTAGTGTGTTAGAAACCTTTACAATTGTCAGTTTTGGTACACACCATCAATGATTGTGGTATGTACATTTTTTTTTTAATTCAAAGTTTTTCTGAAAATGAATATTCATTTAAAGATAGCTCCCTGCTGTGGAAGTTTAGGAGGGAGGGAGTGTGAGCTGGGAGAGGTTTCCACCACCATCCCGCATGAGCTCTGCCCCGGCTAGCCAGGCCTTAGGGAAGAGAGGGTAAGAATCGCTGGTTAGAGAGCTCAGTGGGCCTGGCCTTCTCGTCCTGGGTCCTGGACCCTGGCACACTATGGGCATTTAATAAGTGTAGAATTTCATTGCCTGAGGCACACAGCATTGAGGAATATGGTAGACAAATTTGAATGGTAGCAATGATTTAGTTCACTGCTTAGAATAAAGCTGCCTTCAGTTCGAATGTTACTAAGGGTTTCCATATTTGCTGGCATAGCACATACCATTTTAACTCCCCAAAGTATGCAGAAACTACCAGGTGCTCACGGCTGCAGGAACGCCTGTCCTCGTACTATCCCTCCTTTCTAGTTTATATTGTACCCATTTGGGAAAGATGTTTTTCCCCCACAAAACTTAGTAGTCCACACATTGTGTTTCAAAATGAAATTTAAAATTAATTTTTCACAAACATTTTCCATCGTTGGAGTGTTTTTCATATCTACTTGCATGCCTACCTTATGTACGAGTGCATCTAGCATGGTGGAAAACCATGCCTATGAGCCTGCAGTTTCATCCTGCATGCTTGAGGTGTAGCAGACAGGTGGGAGTAGGGGCTCTATCTGAAGAGAGGATTATCCTTCCGAGGGTTTTCAAACAGTTCTCCCCATCCACTTGTCACCGGGCTGGTTGCTTTTGTGCAGAAGTCTGAGTGAGCGAAGTGCTCTCGTTAGAGTCTCAGGAACTCAAGTTTGATAACCACATTTTCACATAGAACCGTAATTAAGAAGGAAGAGAAGATCGAGAAAAAGGAGGAAAAAAAGCCTGAAGACATTAAAAAGGAAGAAAAAGATGAAGATGAACTAAAACCAGGAACCACAAATCGGTCCAGAGCCACCAAATCAGGTGATTAGAATCTTAAGTGTTCACGAACTGGGAAGAGCTGGTCTGGGTGGTGGCTGGTGGGTGTCGTAGATCACGTGAGTACAGTGAGCTTTTTGGTGGCTCTGCTGAGTTTGGCTGCTTATAGGAGGCTGTGAAAGCGACAGGGCAGAAAGATGGCTTAATGGAGTTTCTGCATGACAGCAGAAACCTGGGGTATGGTAGTCGGTGATTGAAGTTTACTGGCAGCTCAGTGACCTGGGTTCTTGCTTTTCCTGAGTCTTTAGCAGAAGAAAGTGTGGGCTTGCCAGAGGAGAGTGTCCTAGTTCTTGTAACTAGTTTAGTGCAGTTCTGCAGGTATGTAATCAGGTTTTTCCCACATATATGTTAAAGCCGGATCTAATGGAAAAAAAAACAAAACGAAAATTTCACAACATCTGTACCCTTTGAAGCAGTTGCTCTTGCAGCATGCCACCGCTGTTGTCATTTTATAAAAAATTTTTGTGCTCTGCACCTTTAGATTTGCATGAGCCTCCATAGAATGTGTTGTGGCAAAAAAGCCCATCTCCTCCCCCCTCCGAAAAACAGAAACAACCCAACCATCTGGAGCATTGGGATTTGGTGCGACACATTACAAGTTAGATCTTAAGCGATGGGGTAATTTGCCAGCAGCCTCATGAGGAATGAGTTTTTAAAATGTTCTAAATCAGTACTTGTCCTGGTGCTTAGAGCCTGCTTAGCATGTCGTGCAGAAGAAGAGTTGGTTTGCAGCCTTTGTTGCTGTAGACAAATGAAGGGAAGCCCACTTGTGCTGGGGGGAGGGGAGGGGGTGTTTCCCCGGAGCTGGCAATGCCTGATTGAGAGCACCAGGGCCCAGGTTCTGCAGAGCTTTCCAGAATGTGTGGGAGGAATAAAAATTGAAATTGCTTATCATGGAGCCCTAGGCTTGACTGTGAGGGGCTGCAGGTGGGATGTGTTAGTGCACACATCACAGAATGCACCTTGACTCAGATTTAAGTTGTAAGATGTGAACACTCCATTCCAGATGAGCAAAGACCTGTCAGGGCCCACCAGCCGTTTCATACTCAGTGTGGCCATGTCAGTAGTGCTTCCTTTCTATCATCAGGAAGACAGGGACAAGAGAGGCACAGAGGCTCCAGCAGTTAGCATCAGTCACTTGACGGAGTGGCAAGAGCCCCCAGTTGGCCCGTGTGCTGCTTGCTGGAAGTGAGGGCATCAGCATGTTTTCACAGATTGCTGCATTTTTTCCTTAAGGAAGCAGAGGAATGGAACGGACAGTCATAATGGATAAATCGAAAGGAGAGCCTGTCATTAGTGTGAAAACCACAAGCAGGTCAAAAGAGAGAGTGAGTATTGCTTACACCATCTCAAGTCCAGACTTTTTTTTTAAGATTTTTATTGGGGAATTGGGGGGATGGGAACAGTGCTGGGGAATTGGGGGAAGGGGAACAGACAAGTTGCTGTCCTTTTAGTGTCACTGGCCCTCATATGTGGGATCCGAACCGGGGCTCTCTGGCATCCCAAGCGAGTTCTTAACCATCGCGCCACTCGGCCGGCCCAGTGCTATTTTTAAATGTCATTTTCTAGTGTTCCTCATTGACATATAGAAATTGAGATGGTTTTTGTATATTGACTTTATATACTTTTGTATATAGACTTTATAGTTGTGTGATTTTATACAACTAAAAAATTTTTAGGATTTTCTACTTCTACAATCATATTATCTATGAATAAAGACAGTTTTACTTTTTCCTTTCCAAATTTGATACATTTCCTTTCTTCTTGATTTTTGCAATAGTTAAGATCTTCAATACAATATTCAATATTTGTGGTGAGAGCAAATCTTCATGCCTGTTCCCAATCTTAGGGCAAGTGTTCATTCTTACAACATTAAGTACGATGCTGTCTGTAAGTTTCTCATAGATTGCCTCTTATCAGGTTGAGGAAGTTCTCGTCTATTGTTACTTTGCTGGGAGCTTTTCATCATGATTGTGTGTTGAACTTTATAAATTGGATGGATCTCTTTCGTCTGTTAAGATGATTATCTGGGGGTTTTTTTTTCTGAGTCTATTAAAGTGGTAAAATGCATTGATTTTTCAAATGATAGGTTAACCTTGCATTCTTGGAAGAACACTGCTTTCTTATAATGTATTTATTTTTTCATATATTGCTGAATTCCGTTTGCTAATATTTTGTTAAGGTTTTAAGTATCTCTATTTGAGAGGGAAATTGATCTGTAGTTTTCTTGTAATGGCTTTGTTTGGCTTTGCTGTCAGGGTAATGGTGTCATCAAAAAGTGCATTAGTATTTCTTCCTCTTCTATTTTCTGAAATATAGTTTATATAATTACCTTAACTGTTGGGCAGAATTCAACAGTGAGGCCTGGGTCTGGATTTTATTTTGTAGGAAGGTTTTAAACTATTAATTAAATTTCTTTGACTATTTAGGTTATCTATTTCTTCTAGGGCAAGCTTTATTAATTTGTGTCTTTCAAAAAATTTATTTCATCTAAGTTGTCAAATTTATTGGCACAAGTATTTCACAATATTCTTTTATTATCATTTTAATGTCTGTGGGGTTAGGTATTGGTAATTTGTGTCTTCTCTTTTTTACCTGATAACTCTAGCTAGATATTTATCAATAGATTTTAGTTTTACTGACTTTTATCTTTTTTTTGTTCCACTAATTTTTGCTCTTATATGTCCTTTACTTCCTTACTTTGGGTTTTAATGTGGTCTCCTTTTTCTGGTTTCTTAAGATAGAAGCTTAGATTATTCATTTTAGACTTTTTTCATTTCTTATGAATCATTTTAATACTGTAAATAACTGTGTAAGCACTGCTTTAGCACCATCACAAAAGTTTTGATATGTTTTGTTTTCATTTTCACTTAAGCTCAAAATATATTGATTGCCTTTGTCCTTGATCCATGGGATATTTATAAATGCCTTGTTTAATTTCCAGTGTTTGAGTATTTTCTTAGCACCATTCCATTATTGGTTTCTAGTTTAGTTCCATTGCAGTTAGAGAATTTATTGAGGCTTATTTTATAGCTCAGAATATGTTCTATTCATCTGTTCCATTAAATAGATCTGAGTGGTAATAACTGTTATTCATATCTCATTGGGTGGGTCCAGTATCTGGAACATAGTAAAAACTAAAATGCTAGTAATTATAATATATATGATTTTTTATATTTCACCTTTTTTTTCTTATATGGATTTGATTAGATAATCCCTAAAGGTCTTTTTGTTTCTAAGAACTCTGAATCTTTCAGATCTAAACTAAATTCCATATTCTGTAAATTTATACCTTTTTTAGCTTTGAGAACCTCAATTCTTAAAGATCCAAAACTAAAGCTTACTTTCTGTATTTTTGGAATTCTTACAGGGACGGAAGAAGTCTATAGTGCCTGTGGAACCCAGGAGTCTTATCCAAGGAGCCTTTCAAGGGTGTTCAGTACCTGGGATGACACTGAAATACATGTATGGGGTAAATGCCTGGAAGAACTGGGTTCAGTGGAAAAATGCCAAGGAAGAGCAGGGAGATCTGAAATGTGGCGGTAAATACACAGCATGAATTTGGGTTTTGATTTAGGGGGTAAAGGGAATATAGATAAAGTCATGAATCTACTCAAAAGGGATAAATACTAGGTCAAAAATTGCATAAAACTTTGGTTTTGGCTTCACTTAATTTTCTCCCCATCTTTACTTAAACATTTTATTTATTTTTTCTTCTTGTCAGGAATTGAACATGCCTCATCTAGCCCATGTTCTGACCCCTTAGGAAGTGCTCAAGACCATGCACTCTCTCAAGAGTCCTCGGAGCCAGGCTGTAGAGGTAAAACTCATTTTTCTTCTTGTGGTTACTTGTAATATTGTTGTCAGTCTTAAATTTGTAAATGGGATATTTAAAATTATAAATTGATATACTATTCCCAATATTAACCCTCTGTCGGGCGCAACTAATGTCACAGATTGTTTTGAATTTCTGTTGATTTTTATACTGAATTTATGTAATAAACATATGTTGTTTTTACTTTGTGGCAAATTAATAATTTCATTCTGAATAAATAATAAGCATGCTTACACGTTATTTGCATTCATTTTCAATTTAAATAAATAAATGTCATACACACATCTAGTAGATGCATTGCGCCCGAACTCGTAACTTTTCATTGCCCCTGACAGAGGGTTAAAAAGCTTGTTATAAAGGTAAGGTTGTATTTTCTGATCATGAGTTTATTATGCAAATATAAGGAATTTTGTTCCTTTTTCTAACACTATGTAAGTGGCTCAAATTCTTTTTTTTTTTTTTTTTTTTTAAAGNGCCACTCGGCCGGCCCAAGTCCAGACATTTTTGATGGTGGCTGAACGACTACTTTGATTTGCATTATGAAAAGAACATTGTTTGGCCTTTAAATTTTTAAGAGTTCTTTAAATTCCTCGGAGGCATATATTGTTCGTTAACTCCTTAGATTATATGTACAGACACGAAATGAGATTCTAGCACTTCATTCAAAACAATACTTACCCATGTTGGCTTTCCAGAAACCTTTTGGCCCTTCACTGATTCTTTATCAGGTTATGTCATCTCCTGGAAGGAGAACTGATTCCAAATAACAGCTCACCACTGGACAGGATGGGCAAGACCCAGGCATTCCAAGTCAGAGGACAGCTTCTACTCTCTGGTTAATCTAATAGCAGTTTGTTCGTTTTCCTTAGTTGATTTTCTACTCTTCTACTAAATGAACCATAAAGAAACGTAGAGTCCTCCCTAAAACTGACTGTCTTCATGTCATCAGAGAAGGCGCTACCTTGCTTAATGTGGGCACTCAGCCAGACAAGCCAGTGGCTTCTCGATTTGCTCTTTCCACTCTGGAAAACAAACCTCTGTCTCCCAGCTGAAGGTTCCAGCTAAAACGTTGATAAGAAGAACAGTGCTTTGTTAGTGAATGCAAAGCTAACAGTATTCATCCAAGAACTTTATGTTGAGACTTAATTTATTTTTAAAGATTTTTATTGGGTAATTGGGGGAAGGGGAACAGACAAGTTGCTGTCCTTTTGTCCTTCAGTCTAGTTGTGGCGGATGTTGCTTCACTGGCCCCAGTTGGCACCATCATTGCACTCTTCCCAGGCGAGGCAGATCTGTTGCCGGCTTCTGGACGGCCGCTCACGGCGGCTGCTGGCTGCTCACGCTGGCTGCTGGCTACACACGGTAGCCTATGGCAACCCACTGTAGCAGGGGCTGCAGCCTAGGCCGTCACCGGTGACTCATGGCAGCCCAGCTCCAGGCTGAGCTGTTGTTCAGCATCTTAGCTGTCGAGGGCAGTGTCACTGGCCCTCATATGTGGGATGCGAACCGGGGCCCTCTGGCATCCCAAGCCAGCTCTTAACCAACCTGCCACTTGGCTGGCCCGAGACTTAATTTTTAAATTAACATTTGAATTCGATAGAGAGGATTACCTAATGCCATTTTTTCTGTGGGCTGCATGAAAATCAAACCAAAAAAAAGGCCCATAATCTTACCATCCAAATACCTCTGATGTTAAAGATAAATAGTACTAATGCATTCATGATTAGAATGTTCAGATAATACAAGAAGATACAGCACAAGCAAAACAGAAGCAGCCTCTGTGCTTCCCCGTGAGCCCCTCACACTTCCTCTCACAGAGCACCACGCGTGCACCACCACTAACAGGGCACCTGTAAGCTGTTCTTGGATACCTTTGGTATGTAATATGTCTTGGAGAGTGTTATATAGTGAGACATACAGTTCTTGGCTAACTTATATTTTTTAATTTAATTTTGAAGTAATTATAGATTTCACAGAAAGTTGTAGAAGTACAGAGGTCCCATGTACCCATCACCCAGTTTCCTCCAATGGTTTCATTTCCTGTAACTGTAGTACAGTATCAAAGCCAGGAAGGTGACGTTGATATTGGTGTAATGGTGTGTGTGCGCGTGCTAGGACTTGAAATCACCAGTGTAGATGGACATGTTCCCTATTGACAGCCGCAGTGGTGCAGCCTTCCTGTTCGTGCCTCTTGGCGAACTTGTGTTTATACGGTAAACACCCATCAGCGGCATTGCTAGGTCCAAAGGTGCGTGTGCGTTATCCCTGGTGATAGATGTTATCAGGTGCCCTTCAAAAAAGTTACAAAGGATTCTGACATTCGTGGGGTGCGTAGCATATGCCAGGCCGCTAGTAAGTGACGAGGCCAGGTTGTGAACGCAGGAGTCTAGTTTGGGGATCCCACTACTGTGCTGGCACTAGATTGAACCCTCACCTCGGAACTTAGGGTGTCTGTCCCTTCTCACTCCAGCCTGCGGTATGTGTGATCACACTAAACTCTGCCCGTCTCATAGGCAAATTGTACCCTGTGGTGTTTGGGGTTGCAAATCTGCCTTCATAATGAAGCAGTCCTCTCTGTGTGTGTGTGTGTGTCCTCCCTCCCCCTGCTTGTTGTAGAATATCTGGTCCTAACCTTTGCCCATCTTTCTATCAGGCTGAATTGTCTTTTATTGATTTTCTTTCTTTGCCCCTGCGTGGACTAATTAAGACATTAAGCTGAGCAACTTTTTAGAAAATGTGGTCTCCCAGGCTCCTTCCCCAGAGTCAGGTTGTGGGTGTGCAGGGGTCCCTGAGTTCAGGACTGTGTGAAAGGTTCCTGGGAGAGTTTGATTCATGACTAGTTTTGGCGTCCCAGCCTCAGAGAGCCTCAGAAATGCGAGTCAGCCATCAATGTTGCCTACCTTATCCCAGAAATGGAACAGCATGGATGTAAGTCACCCATTAATTCTGTCTGCCTCATTGGGGGTGCCATTGTACCGCACCTGTGGTTTGCTGTTTCACGGCCGCCTGCCTGAGCCCTGAGCCAGCAGTTGAGAAGTGAAAGGTGCAGTCCATCACCCAGCTGTCCACACAGCTGGCTTGACAGCTGCCCCCAGTGAACAAATGGGCATCCAGTGCCTGTGCCCGTGCCTGTGAGCATCCGAGTTCTTTAGATCATGTGGAGTCCATGGCTCTGCTACACTAGAAAAACCACCTGTAGGTTTTCTGAGGTGTCATCCCACCTCTTCTCTTCCCTGAATACCCTTCGTTTGCAAGGTTTGAAGCCAGATTCTAGGGTGAGTGGCATAACTCGGGCATTAAATGAAGTGGCCTGTGTTGGCCTCTGTGTAAATCGCGTGCAACAGAAGAATCTTTAGTCTAACCCAGATGTGCGTATTTGACTTTCATTGTGCATTTGTTATAATCATTTTCCTGACATTAATAAACCAATTTTGGTAAACAGAGCTCCAAGAGTCAGGATCGCAAATCAGAAAGCAAAGAGAAGAGAGACATCTTGTCATTTGACAAAATCAAAGAGCAGAGGGAGCGAGAGCGCCAGCGGCAGTGGGAGCGGGAAATCCGAGAGTCAGAGAGGCGGCGGTGAGTGCGGCCAAGCCGGACTGGCGGGTTGCTGGTCTCCGATGGTTATGATCGTCCTTTCTCCCCAAGCAAGTCTCCTGTGTGGCTGGGCTCCCTGGCATTGTGTGTTTCCCCTGGGGCCAAAAGGTGAGGGTTCAAGCCAGTTCACAGTTGGCCTGTCATGGGTGGCATGAAATTAATCAAAGCCCATTTCTGCTGAGCGTTTCCTCTGGCTGAGTTGAACCCTGGCCCATGGAGCAAGCTCACCCAGGGGTGGCTTTGATGGAAGGTCCCCAGTGATGAGGCCTTAGTCTTCTGTCCAGAAACATTCTACATAAAGGAGACCAAAATGGCAGCTGAGGAATGTGGCTGCTGTTAGAGGTGTTATCATAGGAGTGGCCTCTTTACTCCTGAGATGTCTGTATTTGGTGGCCTTTTCAGGCAGCAGTGGTCGCACCGCGATGTTCTTTCTTCCTCTCACCTTTGTTAAGGAGCTGGTTTATTGAAATAGGCCTGTCATTTCCAAGAGTCCCCTTGTCATTCTCCCTCCACTGTTGCTCCATGAAACAAGAGCTTTATGTCATGGTATTTGGGGAACTTTCTTGAGTTAAAGCATATCACATAGAAGCTTCTTAAGTTAGGCTACGCTTGCTTTTCTCTAAAGTCATGTGATTTCAGCCCCTATGTCACTTTAGAAAATAAAAAGCACATGGAGGAACATTTTGACCCCATTCAGAATTCTTTTGCTTCCGACTAACTGGTGCTTGGTTTGGCGCCTGTCCAGGAACCAGTGGAGTGTGTGAGGAGTGACATTGTCACCTCTCAGACGCAGAGAGGGCCAGTCCCAGTCCCTGCTCAGCTCCTGGTGGGCAGTGGCCTAGAACATGAGACCTTGGTTCTGGCTGCCGGTGCCAGGCCAGCATGTGACCAGTCCCCTGGCCTTCTGCTGTTCCCACACCTTGCCAGGTCTGGTCAAAAGGACACTCAATTAAAAATACAGCCTTTTTTTGTTTTATTTTGTTTTGTTAGCTGAGCCATCCTGCCTGCGCCTGTTGGCAGCTCAGCGGCAGCTCAGCTCGGACTGGGCATCGAACCGCTGTTGCTCAGAGCTCGCACTCTTGAGCGAGCTCTTAACCAACTGAGCCACTCGGCTGGCCCAAAAATACAGCCTTTTTAGAGGAGAGGTGTGAAAAAGAGACGGCTCACTATACAGCATTAACTCACAACAAAGTACCTTTCACCCTGGAGGAAAGCTACTGTAATAGCTTCTCCAGGGTTTTCTCTGTATGCACAGCACTTACCCTTTGCTATTCTTACTTTTATTCCTAATGACATGTGGCTTCATTTGGGGACCTTTGAGCCAAGTCCTCCTGGCCTGGACCTGAGGCTCTGTGTCTCATTGTCACCTACTCCCTCCCAGCCCAGCTCTGGTTTGCTTTTTTTGAGAAAGGGAAAGTTTGGAGGTTGGGGCTTCTGATCCAAGCAGCTTAGTGGGAGTGAGTTTAGCACCTGCTGGCTCTTAGCTGGTGTGTGGCAGCCCAGTCTTGGGCCCAAGCCAGTGAACATGTGCAAAACCCTGACTGGCCAGCTGGAGGTGTCCAGGCCCCTTTGGAGAGCGATGCCTCCATAGCCAGGGGCCTCCATGGTGGGAAGTCAGGGTGGCTGTGCCGTGTCCCCGCAGAGAGCGGGAGCAGCGGGAGCGGGAGCAGCGCCTGGAGGCCTGGAAGGAGAAGGCGCGGCTACACCGAGAACGCTTGGATCTCGAGTGCCAGCGGCACCTCCTGGAGCGCGAGCGCATGGAGCGCGAGCGGCTAGAGCGCGAGCGCATGCGCGTGGAGCGTGAGCGCAGGAAGGAGCAGGAGCGCATCCACCGCGAGAGGGAGGAGCTGCGCCGCCAGCACCAGCAGCTGCGCTATGAGCAGGAGCGGCGGCAGGGCCTCCGGAGGCCCCACAGCGACGGCCGGTAAGGACCTGACCCACCTGTGGCTGAGAGGTGCGAGTCCTCCCATTCCAATAGCTGCTCCGCCCACCTGGCTGTAGAGAATCAAGGCTATTTAACACAGAATCCAGATGCTTTTCCAGAACTCGTTCCCACCACCACCTCCAGTACATCTAGTTTAATGTCACGATCTCGTAGTTGTGCAACTCTTCTCAACTGAGTTCTTCCAAGAGACTTGAGAGTTGCCACTTGCTGAAGGGGTTCGCATAGGCTGTCCCATTATCTGAACTGTGGTTCCTGTTGGAGTATAATCGCCCTCCAAGTGCTTGTCATAGGAGACGGTCAAGCGTGCGTTAGGCCCACGGTGGCCACATCTGCCTCTTAGTCTTGTGTGTCCTTGTGGAGGGAGAGGCACAGAATCAGATTCGGCACTGTGGAAAAGGACATTGCCTTCTTGTTAGAAAGTAGGTTTATTGGTCTCGAGCTTCTCTGAGCTGCTTAATTGACGGTCACCCATCACCCCATCACCCATGAGCCTAGTTTTCTGGTAAAAATCAGGAAGAAGATAATTGGATGCTGCCCTGAGCTATATGTAGTTCACATGCACCCGATGTAATTCCCTTTGCTTTTTGCAAAAAACGCAGAGGGAGGTTCAGGTTACCATAGAAGACATGAGGGGGAAAATGTGGCACCTCAGAATGCCAGTCCCGAAGAATCAAATGTTTCATTTCACTTGCATTTGAGCTCAGGTGGGAATCAAGGTATTAGCAGCCTCGTGACACAATTAGCTCACAGCAGTCCGTTTTTCAGGATTGTCAGATGAGGATACCCATATGCCTCTTGGTAGTTTGGGGTATATTAATTTATCAAATCAAAGTGATAATGATTGAATGCTTAGAGATTAACCCTGCAGGACATTTTACATGATACTGGGTCTGGAGAGAGAGAGCTCCCCTCCCCACCTCCACTCTCTTCCTTTTTTCCCTCTCATTCTGTTTCATAAATGAAATTTGCATCCTTTTTACAACAGGCGAGATGATGTCTATTGGCCAGAAGGAAAACGTGTGGCCATGGAGGACAGGTACCGCCCGGACTTCCCTCGGTATGACCACCGCTTCCACGACTTTGACCATCGTGACCGGGGCCAGTACCAGGACCACGTGGTTGACAGGTCAGTGTCCCGCCCCCTTCCTGCAGTAGGGACAGGTCTCTTAATGTCTGATTTACTTATAGAGTCCTGGTGGGTGACTCTGACTGGCCACAGTGGGATTTAGCAGCGGGTGTTAGAATCTGTGGTCAATGACAACGTCTGCGAATTCCTTAGCAGGAAATGCCCTTCGGAGCTCATTTCATATGCTGTCCTTTGCACACATAGGACACATGGGACCCTGGGCAGGACCTGAGCCTCGGCACCCCCCACACACTCAGTTCTTGTGGGGGTAGCCCAGTTTCTGGGCTTCACAGCTCCCGCACAAGGCCCCCTGGAATCACAGGGCTTTGTTAATACAGACGAGGAAGCAGTTTCAAGAAGGAGCATGACCCACCCCCCCCTTGAGCTGGCGCAGGCAGGGTGGGCTAGAGCCACATCTGTGGGGCTCACTGACCTGCGTGGGTTTCTGTGCCAACAAACTACAAAGAGAACTGACCAAAGAATGTGGGGCAGTTCTAGTTGGGCCTTCTCTGTGTTTTGAAGGAATGGGTGGGTTTTTTTGCCAAGGCCTTTTTTCCCTTTTTTTTTTTTTTTAACAGTGCCTTGTTTAATGAGAACTATGTCTACTTCATTAGAAAGACAGCCCTCACTTTTCCAGTTGAAGAATTCTCTCTTTGGGAGAAATCTCATCGGGCTCCCCTGGGCTTCACATCCCGGAGCCATTTCACCATTCATTAGCTCTTCCGTAAGGGAAGAGAGAACAGGGGAAAGGAGGCTGAGAAGTCACTCATTTAATTCATTATGGCTGGAGTTGGTTTGATATTTGGTGTGAATCACGTATGTTGGGCCAAACCAGAGGTTGGGGACTTTTTGAAGCTTCTCTTACTCTGACTAGTGTATAATAGTGTCAACAGACCACAGGTAAATGAGGCCTTAGCTTCATGGGGTGGGTCTCTGTTTCTGAGACCCCTTCTTCTAAGGGATTTCAATAAAATCCTTATTCCCACCTCCTTAGGATCTGATTTCACTCCCAGGGAAAGATGTGAGCTGGCTTTTTATTTTTTAACAATACAGAGGTCTTTTATTTTTTTACACTTATGCCATGAATTCATAGGGAATGGATTTCCAGCAGCTCAGGCACCTTTCTATTAGTCTCACACAGTGTGCTTCTCTGGGTGGGGCAGGCTGGCGCTTCAGTTGAACCCAGGTACCTTTCTCTTTGGCTTCCTTCTTTTTTTGATCATTTTCCTTCACCCGTTTCAGGAAGCTGTCTTGGCTCTTAGAGTGCTTAATATACTCAATACAAACATTAATTCTCTCGGCAAGAATCTTGCCCTTAACTTGTTTACAACAGTGCTAACTGCATGCTGGGTAATATCGTAGACCCTTCCAGTTTTGCCATGGTAACTAACATTTGTGGGGTTTTCCTTTTTGACCAGTGCCCATTCCCCTGATGTCTGCAATATCACTTTGCTTGTAGATTTGCATGTATGTAGCCAGAGGAACAGCTCCATGTTTTCTAAAAGGCCCAGAGAACATAGAGTGGGTATCTCTCCTCTTTCCCTTTGTGTTGGTCATTTTGACAAATTACTGGAAGATGGCGGTCCCGGCCAAAAAGGAGCTTTTCTTTTTTTTTTCTTTTCTTTTTTTTCTTTTTTTAAATCAGGCCAGTAAATTACAGTTCTAATGTGGGGAAATACAAGTACCCCATTCATGGAACTCTTGTATGGGGCCTGCAGAAAGATGCTGTCAGCTGCCGTTAGATTGAGATATTTCCTTTTTGCAGGAGGGAAGGTTCAAGATCAGTGATGGGAGAGCGAGATGGGCAGGTGAGTAACACCCAGACACCAGCCCCAGGGCACCTGCTCTGTGTCAGGGTGGGCATCCTGTTATGGCCAGCGAGTAGAAGTGCACGAAATTGCCTATTTTCTGCTGAGCTAGTCTGTGTGTTCATATACGTAGGGCTGGTTCTTGCTTCATTTGATCCAGCAGAAACTGCAAGTATCACTTGTTATGTGTTTGTTTAGAGTGCCCCCGAGTCTCTGGACTGTGGGATGTCCTACAGTACCTAAAATGGGGCTTAGTGGCCTGTTAGGAGGTCATTTAGTTCATGTTTTAGGACGTCCCTCTATTTCAGATGCTGGGGTATGTCCTAGTGTCTCTGGTAATCTGATACCCCATGAGGGGTGCATAGGGTATCAGGGGTGCATACGGTGTCGGCTCAGAGAAAAGCAGAGAGCCTGCCATGAGAAAAGTGGGGAATGGACCTCAGAATTGTGGTTTTTAAAATAGGGGTGTGTTTTCTAAGACAACATTAAATCGGCTCTGTCACTGACTAGCCATGCCTGATTCCTGAGCCCTGAACTGGTAGGCTGGGGATACTGAATCATTCTTTTCTTCCACACCTGCCTCCGGTGTCAGCTAGTGAGGGGCTATGCCACTTCCATAGATTGGTGACAGAGCAGGGGGTTGTGGGAGGGATCCTCCTGTCATCAGCAAGGAGGATGGTCCCAGTTCTTTAGGGAAGACTTCTTAGTAGACCCTTCAGGAGAGCCATCAAGCACCGTAAAGCACAGGCTCTCCATGTTCACAGGGTAGGAGAGGCCTGCACTGGTGCTTCGTGTGGCGCCAGTGATGGAGCTGTAGGAGCAATCAGCTCTCGGGCAAGGATGGGCTCAGGAAGCAGAGGGCTCCTGTGGCATTGTCAGGGTCGCAAGCAGAGCATCCAGCAAAGCGAGGTTCAGGAGGGTAGGGGCCTGGGCAGAGCCACACCCTGGCTCACATCAGTGTATACAGCTTGACCGGCCTCCCAGACAGTGGGCCGGCCTCCCAGACAGTGGGCCGGCCTCAGGCCTGTCCAGGAGTGACGTGGCTAGAGTCGCCCTGTCCCTCTTGTGCCTTCCAGCACTACTCAGACGACCGCCATGGCCACGGAGGACCACCAGAGCGCCACGGCCGGGACTCCCGAGATGGCTGGGGGGGCTATGGCTCCGACAAGAGGATGAGCGAGAGCCGGGGACTGCCACCTCCACCCAGGTTAGTGGGCAGGCCACGACACGGGCGGGCACCCTCCCCTGGTCAGGAACCAGCCCCTCTGAAAGTGAACCGGCCATGGGTACCTTGCCAGGTCGCCTGTGTCACCCCAAATGTGAACGTCTCCATCACGGGGCCCCTGCCTGCGGAAGGAGACAGCCCTGACGCCTTGCCCCATGAACAGTGGAAAGCTTCCCTCCCCAACCCACACACACCCAAAGTTGATGTTAGGCATTTTGAAGGCCAGGGTCATGGATACCAGAAGTTTCTGTTGCATCTCTCAGTGGGGGTTTCAGGTATTGGGCAAAGACTGCAGTGCCAGTCTGAGAAATTAATGAAAAATGTGCTTTCCTGAGCGACCTACTTAGTACTCAGTCCTTTAACATTTAAACCATTTTCCTTTAGTACCTGTGGGAAACTTAAATGAGAAAACTCATCCTCAAACAGGAGACAGCCCTGAGCAGTGTCACTGCAGGATTGGGCTGCTGTCACCTGCTAGCAGACATTACATGCATTCGGGTTTCACTTGGGGTGGGGAGAGACAGTATTGCATTTGCCCTCACAGACAGGTCTTGTGGTGGGGGGCGAGTTCCTGGGCCTGGGCCTCTGAGCAGCGGTTAGCTCAGCGGCCAGCACACTCAACCGAGGGTCAGCCTGGGTCTAGAAAGCTCTCCTGGATAGCTGTGGTGACTGCTGCTGCTGCCTGCTCATTGAGACCATGTTTGAATTTTAATCTCCCATAGTCTCGGTCTGAAACATTTTTCTTTTTTAAACAGTTTTTTTGAGATATAATTCATATGCCATACAGTTCACCCATTTAAAGTGTACAATTTGATGGCTTTCAGTATATTCACAGAGTTGTGCATCCATCACTGCAGTCAATTTTAGAACATTCTCATCACCCCAAAAAGAAACCCTGTCACCCTCAGCAGTCACCCCCCATCCTTCTCCCCATCCCCTGGCAACCACAAACCCACTTCCTGTCCCTGTGGATGTGCCTGTTCTGGACATTTCACATAAATGGAATCAAACACTGTGTGGCCTTGTGTGTCTGGCTTCTCTCACTGAGCACCGTGTGTTCAAGGTCCATCCACATTGTAGCAAGTGGCAGTGTCACTCCTTTTGTGGTCACATCATGTTCCCCTTTATGGATGGACCGTGTGTTGTGTATCCATTCATGTGTTGATAGATGAACACTTGGGTTGTTTCGACTTTGAGGCTATTATGAATTGTGCTGCTAACATTCAAGTACAAATTTTTGTGTGAATTTAATCCTCTTAGGTAAATACCTAGGAGTAGCATGGCTGAGTTACGTAGTCACTTTTAAGTTTAACCTTTTAAGGAACTGCTGCAGTGTCTTTCCATTCCCACCAGCCGTTTGTGAGGACGCTTATTTCTCCACATCCTCACCAGCACTTGTCACTGTCTGTCTTTGATAAGAGGCGTCCTAGGGGGTGGGGTGGTATTTCACCTGTCTCACGCGTGTGGTTGTGATGCCATGGTGCTGAACACTTGTGTGCTTACTGGCCACACGTGTACCTTTGGCGAAGTATCTGTTCCCATCTTCACCCACTTCTCCTGGAAACCCTTGACAACAGGGCACGATCAGCCATGCACAGCCTCACCCTAGAGGCACACAGATTATTGCATATCTTTTTTGTTTCATTAAAGGGGTGGACGTGACTGGACGGAGCATAGTCAGAGGCTAGAAGAGCACCAGGATCGCGCCTGGCCGGGCATGGTGGACACAGGCACGGCGGGTCGGGAACACGCGAGGTGGCAAGGTACGGGCCAACTCCGGCCCACGGGTGGGGAAGCTTCCAGGGTGGTGGGCATGGTCTCAGAATTCTCCAGAGGCCAGCCTCCCCCCAGCATTTCCGGAGGCTTTCAAGAAGGGAGTGTTTGCAGACTTTTCTTCTTTTCCAGGTGGTGAGAGGGTCCTGTCTGGGCCCTCCGGACCAGGGCACATGGCCAATCGGGGTGGAATGTCAGGGTAAGAAGTTTTGTCCCTGGATAAAATTGATTTGTTCCTGCTCCTCACTTCCTGTCCCTTTTTTGCATGTTTTATCCACTTGCTGGGTTGAATGTTTTGAAAACAAACCCCAAAAGTAGCTCTTGGCAACTTGTCCAAGTAACACTCTCCAGGGACCCAGAATGTAGTCTCTGATAGGATGTTTCTCACCTGGAAACCACGCGGGCCCTAAAGGCTGCAGAGCTGTGTGCGCCCCGTTGCACTCAAAGGGGACAAATGTGTGCCTTTGTTCCTAGGCGAGGCAGCTTTGCACAAGGTGGGCATTCCCAGGGCCACGTGGTGCCTGGTGGAGGACTGGAAGGTGGAGGACTGGCCGGCCAGGACCGGGGCAGCAGAGTCCCACCCCCCCACCNCACCCCCACTTCACCCGCCGCTACTGAACGCCACTCCCTCCGCTTGTTCAGGTAGGCAGACACACTGTTGAACCTCCCAGCCAGTTACCTTGAACTTGTGGACTCTTGTAAGAAACAAAAACAAATCCTGCCACCATGTTGTCGCTCAGTACAATGTGAACTCACTTTTTTTTTCTTAAATAAGTGTGTTCTTGTTCTGCAATTTTTAAGACAAGGTTTCTGTTAACGAGGCATTCCATTTTCCATTAATAAAAGTTTACAATTCGCACTCGGGCGTGTGTATCATGGTTATTACAGAGCAGAGAACAACTGACCTGCAGCGGCACCCTTGTGCACGCAGGTGGCAACTGCTGGCTCATTATACTGAATTCTCCCAACCACCGATGAAGTAGGCATCATCTCCCCACCGGAGAGATCAAGAGATGGGGCAGGTTTACATCATCCTCCGAGGCCTTGGAGCCCATAGGTGGCAGAACTGGGATGGGAATTCAGTATTCTTCAGTGAGGGGAGGTATGTGTGCATTGCCGAGCCCCTGACCAGCCACTTGACCTCTTGTGCCAGGGTGTTTCGGACCAGCGGCTAGCGATGGTGTGCAGTTTGGGGGTCTGGCTGAGGGCCGGACACGTGCTCCGCAGCTGCCCTTAGCCTCTGGGCAAAGCTGGGGCAATCCAGAGCATGCTGGCCCTTCTGAAGGGGCAGCCCCTGCTTGGCATGGGCCCAGGGTGCCCGATGCAGCCATTTTTCTAGAAGTGCAAATTCACATGTGAAATTTACTTATTTGTGATAGAGGTCATTCCACTTTTCATTAAAGACGTCTGGAAAAGGCACCTGGCTGGCCGGAGGTGCTGTGCACCAGCCCTGATCAGGCCCTTCTAGTGTGACACCACAGCGAGGCACATCTCTTCCTCTGGGAGGAGGAAACTACCCAAGCAGAACTGCTGCCCAGGGAGTGGATGGCTGCAGGTGTGTTGGGGCAGCAAAGGGCTAATTCCATCACCTCATAAGTGAGGCAAGCCTGGTGGCCACAAGGCTAGGCTGGGGGCGGGAGGGAGGGCTCACTTCCCACCAGAGCTGGCCCTGGTCCGCAGTGCTAAGAGTTAATCTGCGTGCCACATGCTGGGAACCTCAATTCCCTCCCTTCTGTAACTAGGACAGCCACCCCACAGGCCCCCTGAACAATTGCCAATTCTCCGAGTATGCTGTGTTCACACGCTGGGCTGTTTAGTTGTTTTTTTTTTTTTAAGATTTTTATTGCGGAATTGGGGGATGGGAACAGCGCTGGGGAGTTGGGGGAAGGGGAACAGACAAGTTGCTGTCCTTTTGTCCTTCAGTCTAGTTGTGGAGGACGTTGCTTCACTGGCCCAAGTTGACACCATCATTGCGCTCTTCCCAGGTGAGGCAGATCAGTTGCTGGCTTCTGGACAGCCGCTCACTGCAGCTGCTGGCCGCTCACGCTGGCTGCTGGCTACACACGGTAGCCCATGGCAGCCCACTGCCACAGGGGCTGCAGCCTACGCCATCGCCGGCGACTCACAGCAGCCCAACTCCAGGTTGAGCTGTTGTTCAACATCTTAGCTCTAGAGGGCAGTGTCACTGGCCCTCATATGTGGGATCCAGACCGGGCCCTCTGGCGTCCCAAGCCAGCTCTTAACCAACGCACCACTCGGCCGGCCCTGGGCTGTTTAGTTTTAAAAGAGCAATCTGAAAATCCTCCCCAGCTGGCCTCAGAAGCTGGAATGTTAAAGGGTGGGCCTCGGTGCCCTGTCTGTGTGAATTGCTGCAAATAAATACATTGCAAGCTTCCCCAATCGCAGGGGCTTGTAGAGTCATTTTCCAGTGACAGATTGACAGGATCCCATCACCTTGTTGCACACGGAGTCCCGTGTGGCATGCTGTCGCCTGCGCAGAGGCCCGTCTCTGCAAGCTGTAAGAGACTAGAAATTGGGGTCCAGGCTTTGTATGTTGGATGAGGAAAGCCACTCAGCCTGGGGCTGTGAATGAGACCAGCTAGCAGATGTTGTCATACAGCTGCAATGGAGCAACTGCTCTGGCAGGCCTGAGTGGTGTCCTGGAGTACAAGGCCAGGGGTCCCAGCTGGGGCACTGTCACCAAGCTGCCTGACGGAGCCTCAGGAGACATTGAGTGTGCAGGCCAGTCCCTCAGTTAGCCCCTGGGTTGAGAACAGCCCCTTTCTAGCTAGCTGGGCCTAAAACCTGCTCTATTCTATATATAGAGACACAAAATACATTTGTTTGCTAGGGCTGCTGTAGCAGTACTGCAAACTGGGTGGTTTGAAACAAATTCATTCTCTCCCAGTTGTGGAGGCTAGAAGTTCAAGATCAAGGTGTCGGCCAGCGTGGTTCCTTCTGAGGCCGTGAGGGAGAATGTGTATCCTGTCTCTCCCAGCTCCTGGTGATCACTGGCAACCTCTGGTGTTCCCTGGCTTGTAGAAGCATCACCCCCACCTCGACCTCCTTCACCCAGCCTCCCTGTGTGTGTGTCCCCTTATTATAAGGACACAATCATACTGAATTAGGGTCACCCTAATGACACATTACCTCTGGAAAGACCTTGTCTTCAAATGGGGTCACATTCTGAGGTCCTGGGGGATAGGACTTCAACATAAATTTGGGGAGGCACAGTTCACTCCGTAATAGTACTCTGCACAGTTCACTCCGTAATAGTACTCCTGACAGTTTTCATACTTAAGGATTTTTCCAGGGATGCAACTTCTGGGTAAATTGAGCGAATTGCTCATCGTTCAGTCCAGAACCTTAATGAGAGTTGTTCACCATTTCTGTAAGCAGAGCTGCTGGGGCCTAAATGCCTCCCCACTGATTCTGTCCATCTGTGATTGGCGCAGTCTGAATAGGCCCTCGCGAGAATTTCATCATGCTCGGGGCGAAATCAGGGCTTATGCCCAGCACTTACTGGCTGGATTAGACAGTATCGGACCTCCTTTTTATTTCTTTCATCTGTTTGTATCTGATAAGGCATCATACTGGTTGGGTTGTTCTTTTTTATAAATTGTGTGTCGTTAGGTTGTATTTGCTAGGATTTCTATTTCAGGAGAGAAAAGGGAGGTCGAACAAAATACTTGTTATAAGAGGGGCTGCTAATGGATACTCGGTTGTTTCCATCTTTTAGCTCCTGTGAACAAAGCTGCCATGAAGATGGGTGTAGATGTATTTACTTGCTGTTTTCCATTCTCCTGGGTAGATACCTAGGAGTGGAATTGCTGGGTCAGACGGTAACTCTGTGTTTAACTTCTGAGGATGGCCAGATGGTTCTCCATGGCAGCTGCCCCATTGTTCATTCCCACCAGTAATGGGCAAGTGTTCTAATTTCTCCATATCCTCGCCAACACTTGTTATTTTCTGGTTTTGTTTGTTTTATAATAGCCATCCTAATGGGTGTGTAGTGGTGTGGATAAACAAAATGTGGGGCACCTATGCAGTGGAATAATATTCAGCCTTAAAAAGGACATTCTGACACCTGCTACAACATGAATGATGAACCCTGAGGACATGATACTCAGTGAACTAAGACAGACACACAAGGACAAATACTGTGTGACTCTACTCACAGAAGGTCCCCAGAGGACTCAGATTCATAGAGACAGGAAGTAGATGGTGGTGCCAGGGGTTGGGGAGGGGAGGGGGGAGAGTATTTAATGGGGTCAGAGTGTCAGTTTGGTAGGATGGAAAGTTTTGCAGATGGATAGTGGCGATGGCTGCACAACAGTGTCAATGTGCTGAATACACTAAACCACACACTTAAAAATGGTTACATTTTAGGGCCGGCCGAGTGGCGCGATGGTTAAGAACTGACTTGGGATGCCCGAGGGCCCCGGTTTGGATCCCACATATGAGGGCCAGTGACCGCCCTCCACAGCTAAGATGCTGAACAACAGCTCAACCTGGAGCTGGGCTGCCGTGATTCGCCGGCGACAGCATAGGCTGCAGCCCCTGTGGCAGTGGGTTGCCATGGGCTACCGTGTGTAGCCAGCAGCCAGCGTGAGCGGCCAGTAGCCACTGTGAGCGGCCGTCCAGAAGCCGGCGACTGATCTGCCTCGCCCGGGAAGAGCGCAATGATGGTGCCAACTTGGGCCAGTGAAGCAAGGTCCTCCACAAGTAGACTGAAGAACAAAACGACAGCAACTTGTCTGTTCCCCTTCCACCAATTCCCCAGCGCCGTTCCCATCCCCCCAATTCCCCAATAAAAATCTTAAAAAAAAAAAAGTTACATTTTATGTTTATTTTGTCACAAAAATAATTTTAAAGGTAGAGGGTCTGTTAGGTATCAGGAGTGAGAACCATGGGTAGAAGCTGGGCAGGCAGGCTCGGGAGCCAAATAGCTTGGAATCAACCTGCCTGTCTGCCCGCAGGGAGTTATTAGTTCTCTGCTTTGGCTTCCTTAACTGGAAGAAGGGAATAATAATATTTACCGTAGAGAGTCTCTGCTCTGATTAAATTAGTTAATATACTTACAAAGCTCAGAATTGCTCCTGGCATACAGTAAGTGCTTAATAAGTGTTGACAGGCACAGGGAGGCCCTGCAGGAATAGGGCCTACGGTGCTCGTGGTTTACGGGAGACCTGTAAAATGTGAGGCCTGGAGGGAGGAGGAGGAAGAATTATCGCGTCCACAAATACAAAAAGAAAACTGTAAAATCAGAATTAATACTCTATCAAATGTCTCCACATCTACAAAAATGTGTCAACTTCATCAGTTGCTAAATTTTGTATTCATAAAGATTTCATTACATTTCAAAACAGCTCCTAGGTTAAATTTTCTCACTTTATAGGAATTCCCAAGCCTGTGCGATGATTGCTAGGCTTAAATTGCATGTGTTACTTTTAGTCAAATAATTTTAGATGCAACGTTATAAAAAGGCCTTTTGATTTTCTAAAAAAACACAGCCACAGAGTCGTTGGTTAGTGAGGATTTGGTGCCTTTTAACTGGCTTGTAGGTTGAGGGGTAGGGTCACTCGGTCCAGGATGGTGAGCCAGGATGAGGCCAGATGTCAAAGCATCAAAAACCAGAAAACAGACACGGTCAGTTCACCTGGATTGTAGTAGACATAGTATATGCTTATCGAGTCTATGAAGAGGAGAAATGAAATACATAGTAATCCTGTGTTTTCTAGTTTTCAAATTGCTTCATCCCTTTTATGGCCTATTGGCTCTTTCGAGGCCTGGTAGAAAATTCTAGTTTAAAGTGTGACGAGGATGCCAGATCCTTGCATCTTGTGTCTTCAGTAAACACTAGGTGGCAGATGATCCCTGCTGAGATTTAGAGGGAGCACTGCAAACACGTTAGGACATGTGCAGTGGTAAGGCTGTTGTTACTGAGAAAAGACTGAGGAACACATCTACCAAGAAATACCTGGCAGTGGATGGAGGTGCTTCTTAAAAATTCAGGTTCCTGGGGCCGGCCAAGTGGCTCGCTGGTTAAGAGTTGGCTTGGAAGTGCAAGCTCTGAGCAGCAGGGCCGCCAGTTCGGATCCCACATGGGCCAGTGGGCTGCTGTAAGCTACCGTGAGTGGCTGGCAGCCAGCGTGAGCTGCCATGAGTGGCCGTCCAATGGCCGGCGACCCATCTGCCTCAGCTGAGAAGAGCACAATCATCACAGTACCAACATGGGCCAGTGAAGCGACGTCCTCCACAACTAGACTGAAGAACAAAAGGACAGCAACTTGTCTGTTCTCCTTCCCCAATTCCCCAACACTATTCCCTCCCCCGATTCCCCAATAAAATATTTTTTTTTAAAATGCAGGTTCCCAGGCCCCAGCTCAGGCCTGTTGATCTGATTCAGGCCCTACCTTCAGACACTCCTGGGATCCCGCATTTTTGAAGCGCTAATGGTTGAGAAGCACTGGGGTGGTGCCCCCGTCTGGGAGGCCACCATGAGGCTTGAGTGACTTGAGACCAAGACAGGTGGGTGAGTCCCAACACCAGCTCTGCCCTTTGCTACCTGGATGATCTTGAGCTGGTAACCCTGAACCCCTCTGAGTTTTCTCATTGTAAAATGGGCAGGGTGAGTCTGAGGATGCAACAGGATGATGCATTTAAAGTGCTTTACACAATATCTGCATATCGTAGGCGCTTAGCAAATGGTTTTAGTTGCTATTAATTCTTCCACAAGAAGAGCCAAGTCTAGATTGAGCCATTTGCCTCCTTGCCAGGAACTTCTCCCTCTAAGGATTAAGTGTGGCCTTCGGACTTGGGGAAAGGGGTCCGCTTGGCATCCATTTCCATCACGGCTATATCATCTATAATGTTGCATTAGCAATTTTTTTTTAACATTTTTTTAAAGATTTTTATTGGGGAATCAGGGAAGGGGAACAGACAAGTTGCTGTCCTTTTGTTCTTCAGTCTAGTTGTGGAGGACGTCGCTTTACTGGCCCATGTAGGTATTATCATTGCGCTCTTCTCAGGTGAGGCAGTTGCTTGCCGGCCATTGGACAGCC